ACTTCACCATTACAAAGATCAACTTGTTAACGCTGTTTAAGGAAATGATCGCTGTTTAATCGGAGAATCGTTCCAAACTCTTAAATAAATTCTGTGAGTGAAATGTAAAATTAAATGATAAGGAAGGTGGGACACTAGGTTTGAAAGGGTTACAGTAGGCCACGACTGCATCCTTTCCAATTCGTTTTCCATTAGATTTCTTGCAAACTCAGCTACTGGCAGCGTCGTTAAATAAGTAATATTTAAATAAGTCACGGCCCATCTGCAACGCCCACTCTTTCTGCCTTAGCAAGATACTCGCACGAGACCAGATCTACCCAAATTGGATCTGCACGTGTTACCGCTCTACAAAATGGGTATCACGGGCCGCGGTGTGAGGGTCGCCGTTCTGGACGATGGTATCGAGTACACACACGACGATCTACAGGGAAACTACGTGAGTTTCTCATTAAAATTTTCATGATTCGATGCGCTGTGTTCCAAAGCAGTATTATTTTGTTTAGACTGTACCTCAGTATCATCACACCGCTTTCTGATTGTCTGTAACTGAACTAAACATTTATTTTGTGTCATACTTTTACACAGGCAACTCTCGGTTTACGAACGAGTTCCGTTCCAAGACGTTGTTCGTTATGTGTTTCTTGCATTCCTGAGCTTTTACGATACGTATCGTATACGTTAGTAGACATTTTAAAGCATTAAAACCATGTACTAAACATCGAATAGTCTATACCAGTGGTATTAAACCTGGGGTACGCGAAGACATCTTAGGGGGTACGTGAAATTTTTAAAAAAATATATTATTTTATTATAAACACTGAATAATCAGTAATGTAATTTATTTAATTTATTTTAGATGTAGATTATATACTATGTATAACTTGAATTATACGCCAACAACTTTGGGGGTACAAAGTTGAAGAGAAATTATATCTGAGGTTACGCGAACAAAAAATTTTGAATATCACTGGTCTATACAATACGTTTTATTATAATGTATGTATGCGTTATGGTTTATCAGTACCAACGCTACTATCTCGTTTTGCACCCATGATAGCTTAAATTTTTTAAAAATATATTTTTAAGTCGCTAAATGCAGAACTACAGTTGACCGTCTAAGATAACCTAGGCAAATCAAGTGATGATCCTATTATATTATAATTCGGGGAATCGTCTGTCCATGTTTTGCAGGATTCTGAAATAAGTTATGATGTTAACGATGGCGACAGTGATCCGACCCCGAGGTACGACGAAGCACTGACCAATGCCCACGGCACTCGATGTGCAGGGGAGATCGCAATGTCTGCTAACAATCGCAAGTGTGGAGTCGGCGTGGCTTTTAACGCTAAAATAGGAGGTGAGCGGACGTACATAAGTCATCCGCCCCCCATTACATACCGTATCATTAGTCTGATGAAGACAATGCGTCTAGTTAACAGGTATTTTGCAAGAAATTAAATAATATGGTTCATCAAAAACATTTGTTTGTAACAAAGGTATTCGTCTTCTGGATGGGATGGTTAACGATCGTGTAGAAGGCACAGCCCTGGGACACGCGTACGATAAAGTTGACATTTACAGCGCTTCCTGGGGCCCCAATGACGACGGAAAAACAGTTGAAGGCCCTGGTCGTCTTGCCCAGGAAGCCATCGAGCGTGGCATCCAACAGGTAAAACCACCTCTGTGCCATTAGTCGAGAATTAATTTACCTTTAAACCACAAATATTATTCTCTCTGTCTATATATTGTTTACTACACGCGTCTCAGTTACTAAATCTCAGCTGATTGATTCTGTAAAGAGAAATCGACTTTTTTTATTCTGAGAATCAAACAAAACCCATAAATGAACTCCACAGATAAAACAGGTGGCACAAATTCTGTGCTTTAGAGATATTATAAACGAAGCATTTATTTTCTGGGGTTATGTTTGCTATAAAAAAACCTCAGCGCCAATAGATTATTATTCTTGTATACGCTGCATTTTCTGGACTTAAAGGAACACGTTAATAGCATTGTTCATATCTTTTATTTTTTAAAATCCAAAGTATTGGTTGTCTCTGTTCTCATGTAGATACGAACATCATCGTAAATTTTTAACGCTGTTAAACGCAGCCGAGCTGTATAATTCAACTAATAACATTAAATCGATGTTATAAAATCCGTTTCAGAAACATTCAAAAAAAAACTGGAGAAAACAAAAATTGGCTAGAAAATGCATTTTTATACGTAATACAACTTCAAGCATAAAGTAATTATTATCAATATTATTATTGTCTCAGACAAGACGAACATCTGTTAAATAGTCCCAAGAATTTCCTGAGTATGTCTCCAAAAATAATCTTGGCGCTGCAGAAATTAATTATTGATAAGGGGGGAGGGGGTGGGGATTACATTATTTCAATACAGCAGCTGGGACGTCACAGCTCTTACACAACCGGAAACTGTTAGCCGAACATTCTTTCGTCGCCTCAGGGCAAATCCATCTCAAAACAGATCACGACCTCCTATTTCATCCTCAAGAGTCTTTTCGTGGTCTAAGCCCGTCGTGCCTGACACAGGGTCGCGGGGGAAAGGGCTGCGTCTTCGTGTGGGCGTCTGGCAATGGTGGCAGTAAGGGCGACAACTGTAATTGTGACGGGTACATCGGGAGCGTCTACACTCTGTCCATCGGCAGCGCGTCACAGCAAGGCCAGTTCCCGTGGTACGGAGAACGCTGTGCCTCTACGATGGCAGCAACGTACTCCAGCGGGGCGTACTCCGACCAGATGATCGTAAGTACGTCCAAAAAAAAAAAAAAACATCCCCATGGCAACGATGAGACAAGACAAGAGACGGCATTCGAAATATTGTTTTCTTTGTTTATTTCACAGGCAACGACGGATCTGAGAAACACGTGCACCATTAAACACACTGGAACTTCTGCGTCCGCCCCCCTAGCTGCGGGGATTATCGCCCTCGCTCTGGAAGTGAAGTACGCACTAAAATCTTCGCCATCATTCCTTCCGACGCACCTAAGCCCTGATTCACGTTTATTACAAAACGTTTCAGTGTCTCCATTGTTTTAACTGCGTCTGCTGTTTTCTGAGGCACTTTTCAAATCCCCACAATCTATTTTCCTGGCATCACTGTTAATATTGACCGCAATATTTTTCTAGGCCTTCCAGGTCAATAGTTTCCAACCTTACACGCCAAATTTTTAACAAATTTCTCTTATCTGAACTACGTGATTATTTAATCATATCCTCGTTTTAACTCCCGAATTACCATGACGTCCCTAAATTAACAAATTTACAGAATTTCATAGTTATTACATTAATCTTTAGCTGGATGTAGTAGGTTTTACGGTCAATGATGCAAATCGTACGGCGAATTATCACTAACAGCGTTACCATGGCAACGGATATAATAATTACTTATAACGCTAGATTTAAAGCTCTCTCTGCGACTGAATGCTACGGAGTCTTCCAACCCCAATAACAGACGCAGAGGCAATCTCAGAGACACTGGATTACGACTCCATTTCCACACGGCTGATGGCCAGAGAAAAATCCATATCATTACGCGTCGTCACAATCATTCTCGTATTAATAAAAAGTTAATGTTTATTATGGAAAATATGAGAGATGAGACGAGAACTGACTTTGCAGCCCGGAGCTGACCTGGAGAGACGTACAGCACCTGGTCATGTGGACGGCCGAGTACGCACCCCTGAGCGACAACTCCGGGTGGCAGCGTAATGCGGCAGGTGCCTGGATAAACACACGATTCGGTTTCGGACTAATGAATGCTCATGGTCTGGTTACTGTAGCCGCAAATTGGACCACTGTCCCTCCAAAAACCATCTGCACGGTATCGGCAGAACCTCTGTGAGTTTCTCTCTTTAATCGTAATCCACGTATTATATTTGTTACGACGACTGATAAATTTACAGTTCGATATGTGGTACAGAGACCCGGATGCCTTGAGGGACAGAAAATCATCTTCTTTTAATGAATTTGAATTTTCATTGCCGTGTTCACAAAAGTGAGACATTGGGCCACTACCCTGAGCCACTTTAATCCAGTATCCTGTACGTACATTATAATATTATCTTCCAAACTTCGCGGCCAATTCTATTAATGGGAAACCGCATCACGTAGTCCACTGTTGCACTGATGTGATCCGAGACCACAGCTGGACATTGCGTCATTAACTCAGACCCTGTATTCAAAACTCCAGGAAAAACTTGGTTAATTTTGTTCATTTGTTTAGGAAGAACGCGACAATTGTACACGGAGTGAAGTCAGAAGTTGTGTTCAACACAGACGGATGTGCGGGGACTGGGAAGGAAATAAAGTTTCTGGAGCACGTGGAGGTCGTGACGAACGTCGCGTATACTTTGCGCGGGGCCTTGGAGATGCAGTTAACTTCTCCTGCAGGTGGGCGTTCGCGTGTTCAAAACCTTACAGCCTCAGAATAAGATTCCCGGTTCTCACTGCGGCCAGCGTCGAGATGACTTGTCTTCTGGGGCGTTGCGCCGTGTAGCCATCTTGTCTATCTCAGATCTCACTCTGAGACGAAGCACAGATTCAACGGGCCGTAGGCTGTTGCTAGTAATTTAATAAGTGAAATGTCGAAAGGAGCGGTCGAAGCAATCACGTTAAGTGTGCGCCCGTTTACAGGAACCGGAATACAGCTGCTTAGCCCAAGGCAGCGCGACCAATCAGACAAAGGTTTCGAGGACTGGAAGTTCATGTCAGTTCTCTCTTGGGGTGAGCAACCGAGCGGTACGTGGATTCTTGACATCATCGACGAGGTACGAAACGCCACAACATTTTTGGCTCATTTACGCAAAACAATTAGGGTATAGTAAGGCCTTTAAATTCCGATTTAATCGTAAAGATTTTATTCAAAATGATTTTTATTTTTTTGTGGGGGGGGGGGGTCAATCGGAATGCAACCGAAAATCGACGTGCTTAAAAGTCGTACTTCATATTCCTGAGGCTCGGAGCTCGACTCCAGAAGCAGGATATCATGGCCAGATCAATTATAAAACGTTATTGAGGGTTTTTTTTTTAAAAAAGTAAGTAAGTAAGTAATTTCTCACAGGTTGGTCCAGAAAGTAACCGAGGGACTCTGGCTTCGTTCACGCTCATTCTGCACGGCACGAAGGCACGACCTGCTTATCTGGACAACGGTCCTCGTCGATACAACCAAGATTATAACAGGGTGCATAAGAAGGTAAGCGTCTTTAAAATTCTTGTTTTCAGGGATCAATTTCCAGCGTTTTGCCTGCGAGTATGATGGACAACGCAGAAAACTATGTCCTGGGTTGGATTAGAACCTTGAACCCCAGGTTCGCTCCAAGACAGTCTGAGCCTTAAATGGCCTGTCACGAAAGATCCTGAACTGAATTCAGCCTCTTCTTAATTTCCTCGTGAATTAAATTCTGATAAATTAATTTCGTTCCCAAATATTAAAACTTTGCCAAGTGTCGAAATGACGTCATTATTACAGTGACCAGATCAAATATTAAAAAAATAGTCATCGACTATTTAAAAGAGCATCCCATCATTCTCTTAGAGAGAGACTGAGGAAAACCACACACGGAATTAATGAGGACAGCCGGTATCCCGTGTAAGATGTCGGCCATTGAGGTATATTTCGCAAATAGCTACGATTTAGCAGCGATGTGATACGAGAAACAAATATTCCTCGCAGTAATCCTCAGTAAAAGAAACTCCAGAGATGATTTCTTTTTCTTTCTTTGTGTGTCCACATCTTCTGTCAGCTTTATTTTCTTCTACGAACAGGCAAGTTCGAGAAACAGAGACTTCAGTTTTACGAATATGAGGGAAATCCTTTCCGTCGCAAATCCTCCAACAGCAAGGGGATACTATCGCGTTTTACTGCTGAATTCAAATAAGCCGTGGACTCATTTTCCAGTGGAAAGAAAATCAAAACAGGCCACCGTCTTTTCCGACATGACGTCAAAACATTCGCGCAGAGTTGTAGCAGAGCGAACTGGAACGCTTAAGCAAAACAGAGGAGATAAGGTCAGAAAACCGATCGCTGACCGTCAGACAGACTCAGCGTCATTTAATTTGCAACTGATGTCTGTGAGGCAAGAATGAATGCTTGTCAAAACACCGGAAGGCAAGCCCTTCACTCAAAAGCAAAGGGGGAATTCTGCTGTCCTGAGGGCATTTTCTGGGCAAGACTAATGAACCTAACACGTTCACATTAATGCAGGAGTGCCACCACCACACAAATAACATGAATCGTACATTAAGTACAAGTTTACGTATGCGATAATTCAGATTTTAAGGCCGACGGTTATTAAAATTACTATCTTCTGGACTACTACTTATCGACGTTTCAGAGGTGTTTACTGAGCCAATGGCTTGTCACTCTAATAACATAGGCAGCAAGCACCTCCGAAACGATGGTCAATTTCTACCACAGGCTCAAACACTTAGAAGATAGCCATTTTCTTAGCAGTTGTTCCCAAACTACAGGGCGTTTCGTTTAAAACGCCACCCTCGCTACAGGAGTATTTGTAAACTTTGGTGAACTCTGACGTGTGGTTTTAAAGCTATTATGTGCATGGATATAAAATAGTTCTTGGAATATCTGAGGGGAAGAGTCCACCTGTAAGACCTAGGCGTAGATGGAAAGATAATATTAAAATTAATCTTGGTGAAATACTGTTAGAAGGTGTGTATTGGATTCATCTGAGTCAAGATAGGAACCGGTAGCGAGATTTTGTGAAAAAGGTAATGAACCTGTTGTTTCCGTAAATGTCGGGGAATTTCTTGACTACCTGAGGGTACAATCAGCTTCTGAAAAAGACTCTGCTTCACGCACTGATTTCATAACAGTGAATTGGGTTGACCTAGGTCAGGTTATGACAGCGACGGGCGTTGGGTCACTGTAATGGAAATCCTTAGAACTGCAAAGTCACATTCTTTATTTTCAAACGCTAGGAAACGCTGCGACAAAGTCTTTTGAGTCCAGAAGAATAAATATCAAGGGTAAAATAGCCATCATAAACTCTGTTATACAAACTTTCCTGCAGCAATATGTTATGTTTAGATTAAATTTCCACTTGACGTGAATTCGTTTCGTCCCAGAGGGACTCTAATTAAACTCAATACCACGCATTGCCCTGGGCGGTCTACAAACACGAAGCCCCTGGAGGGCTCTGCCGTCATCAGTGCAGCTGACCTTTTCGGGTTTGAATTTCACAAATGTCTAAAAGCAACTTTTCTCCCGTTTATTCCCTCAGAAATTTAGTATCCTGATACAATAACTTCAATTTCACTTCCCAGCATCTGCAAAGGTTTCCAAATTACTTTAACGATGTAATAACATATTCATATATTATAGAACATCGAGTGGGACTATAGTCATATAATTACTTGTAAGTTGCCCGTTAAGAATGACGGGAAAATCGGAATTAAGTAAAACACTTAGTCATTTGATCTCATAAGGTCGAAAATCCCTTAACAGCAAATGATGACCAACCAACATTTTGGCACACTGCCCCAGTTGTTCTCAGGTGTGTGTGAAAAACACGCTTGAAGTATAAAGTGAATGGTCGCCTTCACGCTACGGCCGCTTTAACTGTGATATTCGCTGAAGAGGGGACTGGGTCGTCCTCAGATTCCACCGGTAAAACCCAGGTCATCCGGCCTGCAGCCCACTCACTGCG